TGATAATCAATTGGTGTCACCATCTTGAAACACCGACTTCGGTGGCTTGGACATGTTCTCCGAATGTCGTCCCAGAGAATTCCACGTCGTGCATTATTTGCCGACTCTGGGACTGGTTGGAAGAAGCGGAGAGGTGGTCAGTGCATGACATGGTGTCGTGGCATGAAAGAAAGCTGCAAAGGACTGGCTTGTGTTGGTCCTTCACGACTCCCTGGTTGGGGTCCGAGAGATGGTGCTACACAGTGGCTAGAGACGTTATCAGATATGGCTCAGAATAGAAGCCAGTGGCGATCCTGCTGTAACCTTCTTTTACTTTCTTCATAAAAAGTGGTTGTGTCTCCTTACCTGAAAGATTTCTTCTGATTGTACCTTTCGTTCCCTCATTACTACCACACTACCTTACACCAATCTTTTCGTTATTGTTCTCTTTTTTTCTATTTCTCTTCGAATTCTCATTGTTTTGTGTGGCGCATATATATTGGCGCTCTCTTGTACCAATATTTATGTGTTCAATAAATAAATAAATTTAGATCCAAGTTTATTCGTGAAGGATAATCTTAAAATACCTCAAACAAATGCAGTATTCCGAATACTTGTTGATTATCAACTGTAGAGGACATTACAAAAGCTGATAATTGTCTCTTAGTTCCCTAATAATAAGTTTTGTCGTGAATAATATACAGCGGTTCTCTGAGCGCTACTTTATAAGCGTGAAAGCTGTTAACTATAAGTAACGTAAATATATAACTAACAATATTCAGCCAAATATTTCTTCAGTTCATTTGACGTGCTACCCAAAGCTGCCTAATTAACAATACTAACGTTAAAGATAAAGTGTAGGTTCGATCAAAAAGAGTATGATAAATACTAAAGTGATTCAACAAATGAATATGCTTCAATAATTAAGGAAGGGTTATGAATTCACTCACGCCAATGACACTTCTGACTTTATGCTAACTCTGATACCCTATTTAGCATGTTTGATAATCCACGCTTAATTCACTCTTTCCTAATTCGCTAACTAATACACCAGAAAAAACGCCAAATAAACACGGGACTATAAAGTAGGCGTTCATGTTTTTAGTGAACATAATGTAATAAGTAGATGTCGCAGTGTGTACAATATCTTACAAAATTAAATTATTATTACTTAGACACATAAACATTGGTTCAAGGTGAGACCTAAGTGTCGACGTGCCACACAAAAATGAGATTCTAAAGAGGTTGAGAAAAGAAATTGAGTATAATAAAAAAGAACAACAACGGACAGAAATTAGTGTGTGTGTGGGGGACCGAAATAACAGTAATAGGAGAGGTAGTTCGGGAAAAATACAACTATAAAGAATTTCTTCAGTTAAAGAAGTTACCCTCACCTATATGAAGAAAGTAAAAGTGAGTTACAGTAGCAACGTCATTGGCTTCTATTCCGTACCATTTCTGATAACGTCTCAAGCCAGCGTTGCACCATCTCTAGAACACCTACCAGGGAGTCGTGAAGGACCAACAGAAGTTTGTATTGTACAGCTTTCATACTACAACACCTCGTCATACACTGACTACCTCTCCGCTTTCTTACAACCAGTCATGACGTCGGAAAATAATGCACGATGTGGAATCCTCTGAGAAAATATTTGTAGTACATGTCCATGCCATCGAAGTCACTGTGTCATGATGGTAACACTAATTGAGTTATCGTCACTGTCCGAACACACGGTTGCCAAACCTGCACATTACTAACATTGTGTTGCTATTGTTTCACTAATTCTTTAGAGATAACGATGACCAAGCACATTTGTCTAACTTCCTCAACTTGAAGTGGACAGGTTTCACAAACATAGGGCAAAACTGCCCTCACTGACGCGTCGTAGACCCGATCTTTTACGGCCAGACTAAAATCACGAAGGCGCCAAAGGTGGCCCAGATTGTAATTAGCCCCTCTGGCTCTCACTACGCGTGAATCGATCTTATCTCGGACGCCGCCACCAGCAAGATAAAGTAACAAATATGAATGGTCGTTAATTACGTGGGATTACCACAGTACAAAGGTCGTAATAGTGTTGAAATGCAATAAGTTACAATATTTTTATGTGCAATCTCAACCGTTAATATTTATTTAAGCTGATTCCAGGAGAAAGAAGTGGTCTATTAATGTTTGATTCAAACCAATTACAACTAAAGATCGTATTTCTGAGTAAAAATATAAGAATTAATTGATTGAATCACTGAACAAGAATATTATGATAAACTGCTGCTTTCACCTCTGTTAAATCAAGCTTAGTCCTGAGAGATTTGACAAGATAATAGTCTAAATTTAATTGAGAAATTCATTTAGGAGATTGTTTTCTTTTAACTGTTTTCAAAACTTATTTCACAGTCTGAAATATGTGGATTAAACGTTTTGGAAAGATTGGAGGTAAAATTTCTTTATAATTGTCTATCAATAAACATTTCAGTGATATGAAATATTCTACAAATAAATTTGTCTTAACATTATTCCATTGACCTTTAGTCATGAACTACGTATTTTTCGAAGGATTTTCGGTTAATGGTTGGTTTTGAAGATAATTAGTAAAGATGGATATTTGCTTCACTACAGTATGCACTTTCGACTAGATTCATCAAGAACTTCTAATTCAGTTAAACTATTGAGATTTTTCACTAAAGTATCAACGTTATTTCACAATACATTTATTTGTATTCAATCATGTTGAGGAACATCTGGAACTCAAAGCAACTCTCAACCAACACCAAGGTCAGGATTTTCAATACAAATGTCAAGACAGTTCTACTGTATGGGGCAGAAACCTGTAGAACTACAAAAGCCATCATCCAGAAAATACAGGTGTTTATCAACAATTGTCTACGCAAAATACTTCAGATCCATTGGTCGGACACTATTAGCAACAACGTACTGTGGGAGAGAACAAACCAGATCCCAGCGGAGGAAGAAATCAGGAAGAAGCGCTGGAAGTGGATAGGACACACATTGAGGAAAGCACCCAACTGCGTCACAAGACAAGCTCTCACATGGAATCTTGAAGGTCAAAGGAAAAGAGGAAGACCAAAGAACACATTACGCCGAGAAATGGAGATAGACATGAGAAAAATGAACAAGAATTGGATGGAATTAGAAAAGAAGGCTCAGGACAGAGTGGGTTGGAGAATGCTGGTCAGCGGCCTATGCTCCATTGGGAGTAATAGGCGTAAGTAAGTAAGTAAGTAAGTAATGTTGCGCTTTATTTTTCATCTGCTACATACTTTTCTCTATGTTGATGATACATTCACTTGTTATACTTTATTATTCATTCAATAAAAAAGTTCTCAATTGATATACTATTCACTTATAAGTGTTAGTCTTCATGGTTTCTTATAGTTAAAGTGAATGTGCCATTGTTCAGTTAAAAAAAATGCCAAATACGTATATTATCAATCACTACGCTATATTGAAATGTTTGTTGTTAGTTTGACTTTCAGTCTGGATAGTTAGTAACTGGATTCTCAATGTTTCATAAAATTGAAACTTTTTGGTGTTAAACTACACTAAAAATGTTTGGATATGAATGTATCATGAGTATGTTTGTAGCACCCTTAATGATGGAACTTCACTGTCAGAACTTTCTACCAGTAACATACTTTCATTTCAAGCTTTGGATAATAACTTAACTGCTGAAAGCCTTGTGACTGAATTTAGAAAATATTTAAGCAATTCCCTTACTTATTAAGAACGAAGAATGTGTTTGTAAAATATCAGCGAATGAATTTGAAGTACAGATACATTCTTCCTCCTTAATATTTCACATCAACTCGGTGCCCAAATACTGTGAAACAGTCCGTTCGAATTTAGACGAAAGTTCTTATATATTAGTCCCCTTAGTTCTAAATACTATACGTTTGAGTAACCAAGGCGACAAGTCTCATCAATATTTTAGTTGAAATTTGCTGAAGTGATAGTGAGTACGGAAAAGAGAAAGATAGGTGGTTATATCTTACATGAAAACTAGGAGTACCGTGATATGCTTTACTAAGTCTAGAGTTCCTATTGAATTGATTGACCAAACGATTTCTACTAAGATTATGATTATTGTACGGCAAAACATTTGTATATAGCTTATGATGATGAAAATTACCTCATAGTTCTGCAATCCCTGTTTTCTGTTATATAAACAGAGACTGTTTTCTACAATGATCAAGAAGTAATGACTCAGTGATTTGCTTAAATCATGCTAAAGATATCCTCACAATCACATCACTTTTTGAGCCTAATTTCTCAAGAAATAGCATTCTTAATCAGTTCACAAGTTATCTACAATTCAATAAAGACGCTTAATGGTCCACCAGGGTGCTCGGCACCTGTGTAGTTGCGCCACAGGATTGAGCTGTACTATTCAGATTGTAGCGTTAAAGCCTATACGGTGTCTGGTTCTCCTGTTAAACGGGGTTGAGCTGTACTGTTTGTCACGTGAAAGTTCGGATGGTGTCTGGTTCTCCTGAAAACCAATGTAAAATTACCCTGACCCACAGGGGTATATTATATAACTGTGAATTGCCCCCAAATGCCCTGGTACGACCGAGAGTGGGGAGAGTCCGTTCTCTCTCTCGAAATGTTCTCACATGGCCACGCGTATATATCCTCTGCCAGGAATGTCCTACTCACTGCCTTCTCGTGGCACTACTGTTGTTTACGAAAATGAGAGGACGAAAAGCGAATGTCCGGCGCTTTAACCGGATTCCAAACCAATGGTGCACATGGGCTCCAGTATCCTGCGGGAACAAATGGCGTATGAACCAGTCGTTGGTCACCGGCAGCCATGGGACTGCATTTTCTTACGATGCTCCACTACCTTTTGGATCAGACCTTCAGGTCGAAGGCTTGGGGAGTGGTCCCCTAAGAAAACCACCTGCTTTGTTTTAGGCACCCGAGCAGTATCATAGCCCTCACACATATCAAATGAGATTTGTGTGGCGCATATGTATTTGGTGCCTCATTGTACCAATATTAATGTGTTAAAATAAATAAATAAAGACGCTTAAACCAATATCAATAGTCCGATTCATGGAAACTGAAGCTTGGTATGAAATAATACTACAAATTGTATGGTAAAGAATTTAATAAACAAAATAATGAAGAGTATAAATGATACTATGGAATCATTATGTTAAACTTGGCTACGTTACTGATTTTTACCGGCTCATTATTAGTTCATATTATGGCATAAAATATCGATCATATGACAGGATAATATGCAAAACTAGCAATATGACACATATTTTTATGATTTCTGGCTAATTTCATATAACCATGATCACCGAATTCTTCACCCAAACTAAATTTAACTAACCAATATGGTATTTCATTCTCTATACCATAACCTACAAGTAAAACGGATTCGAATGGTTCTTCATTTTGACAGTCGTCTATTAATAAAACTCCACTCCTATAAAATAAAATAATAAAAGTAAAGAGATAAATTTATTTTAAACAGTAGTAACAACAACAACAACGAGAGTTGTTTTGATTAAACTTGAAAGTAAATTGGCAATTTGTTTTAGATCTCATCGTTATTCTGCAGCAATTTGGAAGACTCTCCCAGTCTCCCACATTGTACGACAATTGCAGATACTTAAATAACTAGTTGCTCTGGTTGTTAGAAGGGGCATCGTCGTCGTGACTTCCGAAGGAACTCGGCTTTCATCATGAGGAGTTATAACTCTTTTAAATGAAGACCTTCTGACTCCCAGGGCGGAGTTTAAAAGCTTTGAATAATTTTTTCTGGTTATCGTTTTTTAGCGAGTTAGTTCTCTACGGGATGGAGTCGCTAACCCCATGCCCAACCCCCTCCTTGATCCGGGCTTGGGACCGGCAGTAGCCCCGGAGGGGCTCCAGGCGGAGTTCTAATCGATATTAACATGGATTAATGTCTTTTAGACTTCGGAAATTTAAACCTCACTTTATCTACTTCAGTTTGAGTTATCATATAGTAACATTAGTCTTCATCTAAACAGTTTAACTCAGAGCTGACCACGTAAACTGATACCTGATTATTGAGCTACATAGCATTATGATGGGTAGGGGTTAATCTTGAAACCATACATGAATTCAGTATGTTAATTCACTCAGTACACCTTAGCATGGAATCTGTTTGTAACATGTAGATTAACATTTTTTGTATCATTTCAGCATGACTTTTGTTAACAAATTGGAAATATGAGTAAATCCTTATGTAGAAGAAGGTGTTTTTTAATTATTAAACGAATAAATTTTTCAAGTTTAGATCATGAAGTAAATCATTTGTCACCAGTTTAGTGTTGCTTCCTTGTGTCGTACGACACCATTTTCTATGCTCAGGCAGTCAGTCAGTCAGCTACGACGTAGGACTAGACACGTATATACATCGGTTCAAGTTGCTACACATTATTAGCACAAAAGATGAACACAAAATACATAGAAGTAGTTAATTCAATGAAGGTAATATATCAAAGAAAGATTTCTCATAAGGATATAGTACAGGAAGAAAGAACTAGTTCGTAGAAAGAAAGATATGAAGTGATTTTAATCTCATAGCTTAATGGAAAACAGAGAATGTATACACCAACGTCATTCTGATCGATTCTGAGCCATGTCACACAGAGTTTCCAACCATTGGTTCTGATAGTCATACGGACCACAACCAAGTATTCTGTATCTACCAACATGGCTCAGACTAGAAGTTAGTAATTTTAAGGACTGATGCCAAGTTTTAGTTTGGCAGCCCCTAAATTTCTTCCAACCGTCTCCAACACTAGTCAGTATTGCACGTCGTGGTAATCGGTGTTCATGCATACATAAGAACACGTGACCCAACCATCTCATTCGATGGAGATTCACAACATCATCACTTGATTCTATTTTCAGCCGTAATATATTGATGTGATATCAGTTTTGATGATCAGCGGAAATTATCGAGTACTAAATATTTATTGGTTCCCGTTTTTTCAGCGAGTTTGTTTTCTACGGGATGGGGTCGCTAACCTTATGCCCAACCCTCCTCCTTTATCCGGGATTTAGAACGGCAGTAGCCCTCGGAAGGACTCCAGGAAGAGTTATTAAAGATTCATTATTTCTACACTAAATATTTTATCCGTATAATTGCTCAATATTCAATTGGAATCCAATCTACAATATTTAAGTATTCCAAAATATGTATAGATCACTGGGTTTAGAAGATAGTTTGAATACTTTTCAATTAAAATTGTTTAAAAGTATTGAATGCATTGAGAAAAAAGTTAAATACTAACTAATCATCTTTAGAGAGATTGAATATAGAACCTCAGTTACTTATGGAATAACTTTGAAAGTGAGCTGCAGTGGCTTGTATGAACTAACAAAGTGAATATTTTATGACTTTCATTATCTCACATTTCAAGATGAAGTCATCATATATGATTTCAAGTTGAGATTAACTTGGTAACTATCGAGATATAAAGGAACTGTTTCGCTGAGATACTTGATTTGCAGTATAGACGATTAATGATCTGAAATTCTGCTATTCAAATTGATATATGATCCACACAAACAGGTAAAAAAAAGCATCTCATCAAAGAAAGCTGAGAAACGAAACAGAATTGATTGGGATTCTACGAAATGAGTGACTAGTAGTTGATGGTAGAACATATAAAGTCGGGACGTTTATTAATAAAATGGCCCAAAAATAATGATTGCGCTGATTGTTACAAAAGAAGTTTGGATTAGGGATGGAGAATACTTCACGAAGTAGCTCAGCAAGCCCAAAGTCACTCAGTGGTAACGTCTCTGAGTTTGAAGCTGGGTGACACGAGATCGAATCGGCCAGGGAGCACCAGTTCCCTCAAGATTACAGGTACACCTTACTGACGAGTGCCAAGTAGCACGAAACCCGGGTCCAGGGTTTCCTGTCGACTACCTCCAACCACCATCTAAATCTCAAGACAACCATTATAGCAAACGTGGGAGCACTGGACAGCTGTTTCGTCTTAGTATGAGACTCCTCAACAGTGCGCATCCACGATCCCATTGGGTTGGTCAATAGTTGGAAACTGATAAAACAACAGGCGTATACATCAAAATCCATACATGGAAGATAAAGTTCAAAAGCTCTACAATCTGTATTTAACACATATACTATGTAACGAACAGATTTTTAGTGTTCATTTAATGGAAAAATCATATTGTTGAACGCATTATCAATTTACATTTCTTAAAAGTATTTCATTTCATTCTGCATAATTTACCTACTTCATATATATGTATATATAAGATATAAGAAGTTTATGAAAAATCTTTTGAAATATTGTTTACTGAAGATTCCATATGGGACCAATTATCTAATATTAAATGAAGCCTTTATTATCACTTCATCACTCGATATCTGTTATAATAAAGCAGATAAAGTGAAAAATCTATCTCCTAAATCTTTTTTCGTTTTCTTGGTTAGTATCTTCCTAAACTAATTTGATTTTTTAATGCCTTGATTGACCTCATTTTTTCTGTCTTGAGTGCTGTTAGAGGTATGAAGGCGGTTATCACTTCCCGGTTGCCCACACTGTAGAAAAGTTCTTCTGGAGGTACCTGAAAAGAAAATCGGATTACAGGTGGTCTTAGTGACCTGAGAGCGTGACCACAGTGCCCAAGGGACAACTGCCTGAGGTCAGTCACACACAACATTTTATGAGTAATTTTTGCGTTAGCTCCGTACTTGTTGAGACCTTACCGCTGGAGACGGATATCCGTGGGATAAGACGAGGTGTGCACTTTTAGGGTCGACCTTTTCTAACCCCACCCCTCCTTGTAGGAAGGCAGTATCGCTGTCATACTGGTTGTCTGAAGGAAATACCTTACTGCTATCACACCGCTGTACAGTCAGCAGTACGATTTCGCCTTCGGACCTTGAGTTTGTTGCTCTTAGTCTTACCGCTCTTCAACCGACCTGTCTGACATGGTAGGACTTTGAGGAACGGTTGTTCCAGCAGGTGTAGCTCGGTTGCTTCATCATGAGAGGCAAGCCCGACCACCACGTCAAGGTAGCAACAACGCTCGGGTATATTTTGTGTGAATTTGTAAGTACTTGTACTATGAACTTATGCAATATTTTTAAAAAATAAGTTTCTACGTTGTTAGTACTATAATGATTACTTAGATAGGATGTAACATTTCGTGCATGAAAAATAAATCACCGTCCAATGCTTCCAGATTTTCCATGGTAATCTAGCTTCAATCGACTTATGATCTGAACTATTAAAATAATTATTTTCAAATTATTTACCCGTAAGTAAGAAATTCCTGAGTCATAGTAATTCTTACTGCTATAGGGCCAATATTATACACAGCTTTTTGAAGTTCCTCCTCATTATCATCCACTTGTATATAAGAGGATAAAGTTGTCACACTCTTTGATGAACTATATGTACAATTCCCAACCTAAAATGATTTTAGAAAGACATTGGAAAATCTTTAGATTAAGATGTTATATAATAAATCATATAGTGAAAGAATACTTCAAAGAACATGTCTGATATTCTGTTAATCTTGTGAATCTATGATGACAATTACTTACTTACGCCTGTTACTCCCAATGGAGCATAGGCCGCCGACGACAATGACTGGTGCATAAAGTATTTGTTTGGGAAGTACAATATAAGTTCAGGATTTACTTTCAGTTAAAAAATAATTACGTATTCCAGTATATGTCATACCATGATATATGTGTTGCTAAATGATGTTTGAACAGAGCCAAAACAACAAATGAGGCAGACTATTATATTTTAAAAAGAGAACTAATTCTATGAAATTCCTAAATGATAACCTCGTGAATAGCACTTGATGAGATAAACGTGAAGTGCTGTTCAGGAACTAGGACAATACAATCTACAGACGTTTCATTAAATTTTCAACAGGCACATTCAAAATGTAGTGACTGAGAACAGAAGTGGGGATAATAGAATATATTTGAATACAAAATAACAGAATGTCGTAGTAAAATCTGAGATCCATACAGGAAACACTTCATTTGCAAAAGGTTAATTAGTCGTCACAAACTTCGTTATTCTTTTATTTCCACACTAATCATTCTCTGTTCTAGTTCTATTTCCTTCAATCTTCTTAACTTTCTGACACCAGGCATTTCATTAGCGATTAATAATACATACTACTTATATCTATCGACATCAGTAGCACACACTACAAAAGTGATGTAGTTTAAATAATTCAAAAATAAATAGTACTTACTATCATATTTGAAATATAAGAAACAGGAGTATTCATCTGTACACTGGAAAACTACACATGTCTGCTAAATATTGTATTTACAACTTTTAGCAAAGCTCATAGATATATAAGAATTTTGAGTGTTAGTCACCACTAAAAGTGGTTATGAAGCTTGGTCGGAATATATTTATTGAAATGAAACATGCTACAAAAAGTATTCTATCATTAAAATCTATGATCTAATCAGAAGTAAATATTGCTTCATGAAATGACTACATTACAGGGTAACAAAAGGCTATACTGAACATGGGTATATAATAAACCAGAACTACCTTCATAAATGTGAAACCTGGAGAACTACGAAAACCATCATCCAGAAGATACAGGTGTTTATTAACAGTTATCTGCACAAAATACTTTGGATCCGTTGGCCGGACACTATAAGCAACAACCTTCTGTGGGAAAGAACGAACCAGATCGCAGCGGAGGAAGAAATTAGGAAGAAGTGCTGGAAATGGATAGGACACACATTGAAGAAAGCACCCAACTGCATCACAAGACAAGCCCTCACATGGAATCCGGAAGGTCAAAGGAAAAGAGAAAGACCAAAGAACACATTACGCCGGGAAATGGAGATGGACATGAGTAAAATAAACAAAAATTGGATGGAACTAGAAAAGAAGGCCGAGGAGAGAGTGGGTTGTAGAATGCTTGTCTGAGGCCTATGCTCCTTTAAGAGTAACAGGCGTAAGTAACTAAGTCAGTAAGTATTGTTGTAATATATGTGGTTTGATTTGATTGTGAATTTAATGGAAATGGGTTGTGTTTTTTTAAAAAAAAAGAGTGAAGTGTTCTCATCGTATCCAAATTTGTTGTAAATATTGTCCTCTTTGTATATTTTGATATCCAGTTATTCCCTCTGAAAAAGAAAGTTTCTTTACAATATGATTAGTTGTTAATTGGCTTCATTCATCTTTAAAAGTCCAATCCCTTAACAATATACTCTAAGGTATATGTTCGTCGTCAATCTTTTTATTTCATCCTATTATGACGAACAATTAAGCCGTAGTATTTAGGTATCGTGAACTAACTGTTAGACGTAGATGTACACACACTTGATCTTCTCTTCCATTAAACTATGAGATTAAAACTGCTTTATAACATTCATCCTACGAACTAATTCGTTCGTTCTGTACCATATTCTTATATACAATCTTTCTTTTATAATATTACTACAATTGAATTAACTACTTCTATGAATTTGGTATTCATCATGTTGTGCTAATGAGGTATGGCAACTTGAACCGATGTATGTATGTGCCTGATCTTACGTTGTAACTAACTGACGGATTGAAGTACCTTATTAAATCACTGATAATGCAAATAAGTTGAAATAAACTAAAACAAAAATTATCCATAAGCGAATGTTTTTATTTATTCCTAAATGCACAAACTAATTCTTGAGTTATTCAACATTTTCGTATGAGTATAAAGAAACTTCTTCAGAATAATTGATTCTTAAAGATTGGATTTCATGCTATGTTCAATAGTTACTCTCTAAACAATAATTGTGATTACATCTCAATCCTACAGGAGGTCAGTCGCGTCTCGGATACCTCAGTGGTAACGTCTCTGACTGTGAAGCTGGGTGACACGAGTTCGAATCCGCCAGGAAGCACCAGTTCCCTCAAGATTACAGGTACATATTGCTGACGAGTGCCAAATAGCACGAAACCCGGGTCCAGGGTTTCCTGTCGACTACCTCCAACCACCATCTAATAATTGTAGTTTAAATTGTAGCTTTGAATCAATACACTAATCAATAATATACTTACTTTACCAGTAAAAGGATAATCTTCTTGAGATTCTACACCATACTCTTTTATATAATCAAATGCCACTGATACTGGATTCTCTACACATTCACGATCTCCAGTACAATCTACCAGTTGTTGTGATGATAATGGGGTAAGAATTCCTGTTTTTCTTTTAAGTTGCCCTTCAAGCGCTTCGACTGAGGCAATTGCCCATGAAGATGCACAATCCTTCTATAGAAAAAAAATAATCACAGTATATTTGAGTTAAATCTATTGAAAGAAGACGTTCTGATGATATCTCATTAATCATAGATAACCTGTCAAAAAAATACGTGAACTTATTTACTGAAGTTGTTAATTGTAAACGATCTTCAATTTCCTCTACTACTGAAAACAAGTGACCTATACTAATCGATGGGAATTTCGATTGGTAATCTGAATTAAAAAGAATACTTTCTGCATACTATTCTGGAAAATTATTTAAGGTAGATGCTCACTACTGAGGAGTCCCATTATGAAATTAAATGACTGTTCAGTACTTCCAGGTTTTCAATGATGGTCTAACATTCATCCGTTCATGATCTCAATAAAAACTCGAAGATCTCCACAATTTTATACTGATAATTTTGTTGTTGACAGCATGAAAATCCATCATAAAGATTGATAGGGAGATTATTAATAGAGAAGAGAAGGCTTAGCGTGATAAGATAAAGTGTTGAAATGAAGATAAACTGTGGTCAGGAGGATCACGGGAACAGAAAGAAAGCTGTTGAGCATAAATGGTTCATACAGAAGACAGAACGGAAGTAGACAGCTGTGAAAGAAAAAAAGAATGAAGGAGAGAGAAAAATATTACGAGAGTACAAAGCCATGGTCGAAGAAGAGGTTGTACCAGTTTCGTTTGGACATGTAATCTTGGTTTCTCCAGAAGTATAGTTATTGCTTTGGCAGTGTTAACAAGATGGAATATAACCGTGTTTGGCGGATTTCTACTTGCCTTGTAGATGTTTTTGAACACAGAGCTCTCTCTGAATGAATGACCTGTGTTCACAAGTTTTCGTTTATTGAACTTATTATTGAGCTATTTACACCTCTTTCTAACCAAACTGAGTAACGTTCTCGAACTCTTTTTGATAAAATAAGCATCAAATGACTGATATACCTTGGTCCGCATGAGCACATAAATTGATAAACACAGAGGGCATTGATCAAACGAGATCATTTATCTCTAAAATTATTGGTGATCATTGATCGACTGGCGAACAGTATTCGCAAGGTTGCTAAAAACGTTCTATTCGAGAGAGTCTGAAATTTTCCACTTCAGTGTCTGTAACTATGTCACCTTTGAAATCAATGTTCACATAAGTGTCTTCTTTTCTACTGAGGTTATCTGTGCTTAAGGAGGTCTGAGTTTTGTATTTTTATTAGTCGTGTTTACTGAACATTTCGACATCGAGGAAGTGAATACTTTGTTTTCCTTCACCTTCTAGTGTGAAATTGACTGCCGGGTCAGTCAGTCACTGAGTAACAACGTAGAACTTCGTGCGTACATCAGTTTAGGTTGCCATATCACAGTAGCACAGAGATACAATTGTCGATTCAAATCCCACAGTGGTAGAGGTAGTAAAAGTATAAGCAGTCATCGGAAAGATTAGGATTTGAAGGTGTTAGTCAAGGAGTATAATCCAGTAAATAAATTTGGAAAGAGAAAAAAGTAAGGGACATGAATAATTCAGAATATTAGAATTTGGGAGGACACAAAGAGTAGATGCATCTGCGCCATTACAAACGATTTTGAGCCATGTCATTCAAGGTCTCTAACCATCAGTTGCTATCATCTCGCAGATCCCAACCAGGTAGTCTACACCTAACAATATGGCTCACGAAGTCCACTTATCAGTGACTTCATGGATTGGTGCCATGTTTTGGACTGGCAGCTCCTAGATTACTTCCAACCTACTCCTACACCATAAAACATCACACATCGGGGCAGTCAATGGTTAATGTTTTAGAAGATGATCTAAATTATGTTTATGGTAACAAATTACAAAATACATCATGTAGATACCTTTTAAACAAGTGAAAGTTGTGAATAGACATTTTTAAGTTGACAGTTTACAGATTGACTATGAAACAATTTGCTAATGATGGATTAAGAAGAGATTCCATTACTCTGCCATGTTTTTGCCTATGAATTACATTGTTGAATGTAAATTGTAAATTTCAAATATATCTTAATAGTAATACCTTCAGATAAGATTCCGGTAGTTCGATATAAATCTCATTATTATTTATATATTTGTAGATGAAATTGATGTTCTCTGTAAGTGAGAAATTACCGAGTAGTGAATCAATATCAAATGAAAGAACAAAGTTTGTCAATTACATTCACTTGTTCAAATGTGTCATGTAGAGAATGTATACAAATACTTTTTATTGTAAGTCCTGGAAGATCTTCCAGCCACTTTGATAGAAGACCGTTAGCTGTTACTTTTGTGTTAATATACTGGCTGAAACTAATGAAAAATGAACCCTCTCTTCCCTAATTATAATCTTCTTATCTATCTTCATAATGAATATTCAAGTTCTCAACAACAAAATTATTGTTAATTCTTTCGATCAAAATAACGTTTTTATAAGATGGTAGTTGAAGGTAGTTAATAAGAAACTTTGGACCCAGGTTTCGTGCTATTTGGTATTCGTCAGCAAGGTGTACCTGTGGTGGAGTTTTGTTCTCTGAACAAAACTCATCCACCTGAGCTACAAATCTTCTCCACCATCTCAAGGTGTACCTGTAATCTTGTGGGGAATTGATGCTTCTTAACAGATTTTGTTGTGGATGCGGAGGAATAGACCAATAATTATCATGTTAAGTCCAATGGTGTCCTTGGACTTTAAATGGACATTTTCTATTGGTCGATATCTATTCACTTGTTGAGTATTGTACAAAATGTTGTTTTCTATTTTATGGTACGATGTGGTATGCTTGACTGGTATATAAACAAAGTATGTTTGAAATATAATGATTCATATCTCAGAGGCTGTGGCTTGTGTTCTGGACTCAACTGGCTGGGCTGGACAGGGAAGCAGGACCAATCGAGACTCTAGGCCGTCCGTGCGTGTCTACGTGTCACTGTCACCGAATCGATCAATAAACGCTGCTTATCAAAACCTGCAGTCACACCCGTCATAACAGATTTAATCCCGTGACACCCAGCTTCATAGTGAGAGACATTACCACTAAGCTATTCGGGCCTTTTGTTTTTTTCTGTCTCATTGTTATCATGTTTAGCAGGATTCTATTATCACTATGATCACTATTATTATCATTTTGAAAAGTAAATAATATATGCATGTGACTGTACAGCATTGAAAATGAATCCGTTGAAAAGAGAACTTTTCTCTGAACTCATCTTTCTTATTTTAGGAATTTGATTAATTTGTAAGAATTACCAAAACCATAATATTTCGTGCAAGATATTGATTTGAAATGACAGAACACTGAACACAAAAGAAAAAAAACGTTAAACGACAATGAAGCAGTTTTGAAGAGGAGTATTTCTAAAGAGTATTGTTAGTCAGTCATTCAGTCAGTCGGTATAATGTAGTATCACGTACATATATGGATCGATCAAAGTTGCCATACCTCATTAACACAACAAGATGAACACCAAATTAATAGTAGTTAATTCAATGGTAGTAATATACAAAAGAAAGTATGTGTATATGGATTTAATACATAAAAAAGATGTAGTTCGTAGAAAGAAAGATATGAAGTGATTTTAATCTCATAGTTTAATGGAAAACAGAGAATGTGTACACCAACGTCATTCTGATCGATTCTGAGCCATGTCACTCAGAGTTTCCAACCATTGGTTATGATAGTCATACGGACCACAACCAAGTATTCTGTATCTACCAACATGGCTCAAACTAGAAGTTAGTAATTTTAAGGACTGATGCCACATTTCAGTTTGGCTGCCCCTAAATTTCTTCCAACCGTCTCCAACACTAGTGAGCATTGCGCGTTATGGTAATCGGTGTTCATACTTACGTAAGAACACGTGGCCCAACCATCTCAGTCGATGAAGATTCACAACATTATCAACTGGCTTACCATCATCATTCCATGATACCCTAGCGTCTATCCTCACTATTACCTACTCGATCATCTCAGCAGGCACAAACAATATTTTACATTACAAAAAAAATGGAGCTGAAACAAATAAATGATGACAAACGACAAAAAGAAATAAAAACTTTGGATTTAATGATCTTAGCGTTAGCGTTGTTTTTAGTGAGTTATTTTTCTACAAAACCAAAGAACACATGACGTCAACAAATGGAGACAGACATGAGAATAATGAACGGAAATTTGATTAAACTAGTAAGGAAAAACCCAGGACAGAATAGATTCGAGAATGCTGGCCTATACGGCCCATACTCCATTGGCAGTAACTCAGTGTTAGTCACTAAGTAAGTTTTTTCATCTTAGTTTATTCAATACAAATCAAACTTGTAAAAAAAAAACAACAACAAAAGAATGATAGGGGCCCAATAATGAGAATGTGATCTAAACTAACTTGTGTTTTTACTGGTGTCACAGTATCATTATCCCTCCAATCAATCATATCTGGTAAATCATTATGATTATTATTTGTTCGATTGATACTTCTATATTTCTCCTTAACTAATAATAATAATCGATTTTTTTGATGATGTAATAAGTTTAATTTCTTTTTTTTATTTTGATAAAAATCATTCCAATTTATAGCGGTATATTGATTTATTGATTTACGATAAGTTTTTAATTGTAAATCATAATATAAATTATGTAATAAAATTTGATCAATATTGATTTTCCATAATGTAAAAGAATTGATTTCATCAATTTGATTTCTATAATATTGATGATAACGTAATTTCCATATTGTCCATAATAGATGATAATCTATACTGTTATGATGATGATGTAATGACTGATTATGTAATTCACAATTGAAACATAAGCAGAATAATAATGAGATAATCAGTAGGCTTATCATCATTATCAGGAATGGAATTTGATCATATATACATAAGTATATATATATATCTATGCAAGTAATCTCATAGAAACCAAAGTTCTATTTAACTAAAACACTTTAAAACCTTCTAATATAGATCGAATTTCAACTTTGGGCATATCATTAGTAATGATCTTATTCCGTATAAATAATGTTGTACTCTAGACTATTTATTTAAACATATAAATATTGGTATGAGAAGGCACTAAATAGATATGTACCGCTCAAGTCTTTTGATTTGTATATGGGCTGTGATACTGCCAGGATGTTGAAACCGAAGAAGGTGTTTTTCTTAAGGGGCAACACTCGGTAGTGGAACAATCTCAAGAGATGCAATCCTATGGTAGCTGGTGACTAACGATTGGTTGATATTCTATTTGTTTCCTCAGGGTCCTGGAGTCCATGTACACCGTTGGTTTGTAATCAGGGTTTGCAACTCCCCTAAGTGGACTCTCCGTGTCCATCAACCCAGTAGAAGCATCGAACATGCACTTTTCGTCCTATCCACTTCGCAAACAACAGTAATCCTGCGAGAAGGCAATGAGTAGGAATTCGTTGGCTGTGGTTGTATTTACGTGGTGATGTAAGAGTATTTTGAGAGAAAGAGTTGACTCTCTCCACTATCGGCTGTACCAGGGCGTTTGGGTGCTAATGATTTTTGCATAATGTTATGATTATGAGGAGAGTGAATTTAATTACAAATTGTAATAAACAATTTTAATAATTTATAAGCAAAGATGGATAGTGGCTAGCAGTGGAATCTAGGACATGCGTTTCGACCTATTTCGGACTTGTCAGCTAGATGTACCTGCATCTCACCAGATGACGAGTCCCAAATAAGACAAAACGCGCGTCAAACTGGATTCCATTGCTAGCCACTATCCATCTTTGCTCATAAAGCTTGTGACTTCAGGCAATATTGAGGCAGTCCGCACAGGGTGCATAGATGCCAACAAAAGACTGATCAATTGCAGTCCTAAATAATAATTGGAAGATACAAGTAAACAACATCAAGTCAATTTTAATAAATATTGGAATCGTTTATTGATGATCATATTTTATATAAGGTTTTCATTACAAACTCATTTAATCAAAATACTCATTGAGAATAATGGAAGTTTGATTAGGTATTTGTTTCCTTTCTAATAATATCGAATTTTATTGGACATGGTATCTCATTGAAGTGGGAAATGTGAACAATTTCATTCTGACTCACTTACCTAGTTACTTACGCCTGTTACTCCTAAAGGAGCATAGGCCACCGGCCAGCATTCTCCAAGCCACTCTCTCCTCGGCCTTCTTTTCTAGTTCCATCCAATTCTTGTTCATTTTACTCATGTCTATTTCCATTTCTCGGCGTAATGTGTTCTTTGGTCTTCCTCTTTTCCTTTGGCCTTGAAGATTCCATGTGAGGGCATGTCATGTGACGCAGTTGGGTGCTTTCCTCAATATGTGTCCTATCCACTTCCAGCGCTTCTTCCTGATCTGGTTTGTTCTCTCCCTGACTCACTAGTCTGACCTAATTCTCAATTTGCTGATAGGCTGTAGGTACTACAACTGGAAGCATCATGTGTTTGAACTACTGAGGATTTATAGTCTACCATAAGATAGCTCTGGTCTACTTTTCTGTTTTCAACAGTCATTTAAATGAAAGCAGACATAATTTGGTTTGTAAAATTCATGTCTACAATTTAGAAATCGGTTACTGACTCATGGAATTTAGGGATTTCGATAGTTTCTTTGTGAATGAATTCATGAACATAAACATGCCACCAACCAAAAAAATTGAACTGGTTTATTTTATTTTGATTGTGATCATGAACCGATTGATGATAGAGCACTTATGAAAACCTGGAATCACTGGATGGTCGTTTCGTCCTATTGTGGGACTATTCATTAGTGGGCATCCACGATCGCAACCACAAAATTTGATCATAGGGCCCTCGGTTTCGCGCGCGAACGGTGTTAATGTCTAACCTAAACCAATCCACGAACTTACACGACCATCCTCCTTTGTACTGAGATAAATACCTGTCTCTACCCGACACGGATTGGCTCCAGTGGTCACGCCTACTCACTAGAAAAACGAGAATTCCCTCACGAATCACGAATCATGGGATCGTGGATGTGCACTGCTGAAGAGTCTCACAATAGGACGAAACGGCCATCCAGTGATTCCAGGTTTTCGATGGTGGTCTAACACCAATCGGTTCATGATCTCAATCAAAAACCTAATAATCTCCACAACCCTATATTGATGGTTTATTTTACTTCAGAACACTTTGTTAGTGAACACCCTTGACTTTATTCGAATTGAAAACCATGATGATTCACTGTAAGGATTATACTAGGTAATGTTTAGATTCAAGTAAAATGCTTAAAACCAGTAAAAATTGTAGTCACAGAATTCCAAAGTTTCTCCGTAACTTCATCTTACAATTAACCATAAACATAAGTATAATTGTATTCGTTTAAGTATATCCACTGAAAATAATCTCTGAACAGTTTAACTGAGAATGTATATTAGCAACAACCAACTGTGGAAAAAAAACAAGAACCCAGCGGAGGAAGAAATCATAAAGAAGCGCTGGAAGTGGATAGGACACATATTGATGAAAAGCACCCAGCTGCGTCACAAGATATGCCCTCACATGGAATCCTCAAGGCCAAATGAGTAGACGAGGAATACCAAAGAACACATTACACCGGGAAATGGAGATAGACATGAGAAAAATGAACAAGAATTGAATGGAATTAGAAAATAAGGCCAAGGACAGAGTGTGTTATAGAATGCTGGTCGGCGGCCTATACTCCATTGGGAGTAACAGGCGTAAGTAAGTAAGTAAAAGTAATATTTTTGCATAAGTACATGTTATCAACGAACTACCATCAAGGTATACTTAGGTCATTATTACTATTGAATATATACTGAAGTCTGTTAAAAACCTTGAAAATGATAACTAATACTCAAACAAATGGATAAAGATAGATGACATTGAATATAATGATGAAATGAACGTTAGTATTATTGAATCTATATAACTCAGATTCTAAAGAAGATGATATTTCATGTTTTCAGTGGAGCTAATTCATTCTTCTGATTTGTTTTCCAATACTGAACTAATTATGTAATTAGTGGATCGAACTTCTCATTATAGGCGAATCTTGAGCAAAGCAATAGATTTTCAAGTGTCTCCTCTGCTATGGTGTTATAAAGTGTTATATCCCAGCAAGAATTATGAATGGTAACTATTTGGATCGATTTATGGACAAATACGATACATATATTTTTAATGTGTAATCTTTAAGTAGCTAAACTATGCATATTCACGTGACTTTTATTATAAGCTTTATGTTGACCCCTAGACTATTGTTATACGATTTACCATTCTTGAGTTATACCCTGACTAGTAATTGCTATCTCCCACATTCACAGCCACATTTGGCTAATTCTTGTAAAAATGTTGTTTTCTATTTTATGGTACGATGTGGTCTGTTTGGTTTGTATATGACCGCAGTATGTATTAAACAAACAATTCATATTGTAGATGCTGAGACTGGTGTTCTGGACTTAACTGTCTGGGCTAGGTGATAAGCAGAACCAATAAGGTCTCTAGACCGCTCACACAGATTTTATACGTTATTGGTCCGATCGATAATTCACTGCTCTCTAATTGGCGGTATCGTTAAGTTATACAATAAACAGGGCACATAGTTCACAAGTTATAAAAAAGTACGAATATATCCTTTGATCTTATCAATGGAAAACAATCAGTCCAGTAATCAGAAACATTAATACGATACATGCGATTAGATGAGCTCAAGGTACTCGTTGATTGACGTATTGATACACTTAAAACTTATGCTGATAGTTAGTTGTTAATATTATGTAGAATACTATAAGACTCAATCATTATATAAAAAACAAGGGTAATTGTTTAAAAGTCGTTTTGATGCATGTTTAGTTCGTCTTACATAGTTCCTACTCGTACCGTTTCTACTCTTTTGTATATTGCTGCTTTATACTACTTATTTATATTCAGTAAGCAGTTGTATCCCCAACAATTTTCACACATATGTTGTAACGCAGGTTGTACTGTAATAATCTGAAATCTTCACATATACTTATAACGTTTATTGTACTTATCATTGTATTTATCATTATAATTACTGTATCTTAATCACTGTAACGGGTATCCACAGTTCTTTGCATTTGTTTAAACGCAACAATTTCCATACTGTTTGTTCTTGGTTCGGGTTTCGGTTGCTCATAAACTGTTATCAAATTTAGACACAGCTATCAGCTGTCCTTTGTACTATCGTATGTTATAATTATTCTTTATGTCACTGTTACAGGAAGCCTTTGTTATTTTCATTCTTGACGGACGCGTTCAAACGCCTAGACAACTCACAAGTTGAGGTTTGTAACTAAATTTAGTGTATTATTTAATAAAGAACCGCTATTGTAGACAAATCGTTGTTTTGGAAAATTCGATTTTGCGCGTATCTCAATCGGGTGACTTGGACGCTTCGATAGATCTAACAATGCACATATCCTGTAATCCTTTTATACTTCAGCTTAGTACAAGCAGTTGTCTTGATGAAGATAAAAGTTTTGATAGTCGATGAGTCAAAACAAACTACTTGGTGCTCCCCTATGTTAACATATGAATGACAGAGCTTCATTACGGTCACAAATTATCAGTTATTGTTTAATTTCAATAGTTGAGATCATGAGTCGATTGAAATTAGACCATCATGAAAAACCCGAGATCACTAGACCACCGTTTCGTCCTATTGTGGGACTCTTCAGCAGTGCGTATCCACGATCCCATCCCGCCAGATTCAAACTCACGACCTAACAGTCTCGCGTGCTAGCGCTTAACCACTAGACCAATGAGTCGGGCTGCATCCAACGGTTTTAATGTCTAACTTCAACTAGTCCACGAAATTGAGTGACAAATCCATCATTGTCTTCA